TTCAAATATCTCTTCCGTTCTTATAAGAGGTGTCCTCATGGGAGGATTCTGTCCAAGAAATCAGTAGGTACTTGTATTCTTTGGTTGAACAACATTGACAGAGGCGATACCATAGCATTATCAATGTGCATGGTATATTGTGCTGCAATGTCAGACTTTGAAGATCATTTGCACTTCCAAGGCCTGTAGATGTCAGAGATGTTTTATCTTAGACAAAAAGCAAAGAATAAACTTTGGAACACCAGGAAGTTTAGCTCAAATTTGCTCAAACTCTTCCATTTTTATAGGAAGAGGGGTGCTCACTTCATACAAGGGTTCTCTTCGAGGAATCAGTTGATGCACATAGGTGTTTCCTATGCCTGTGTCCACAGGGATCTTCGTTGTACTAACAGCATCTAAATCATCGCTTTTGTAGGAATCTAAAGGGGAACTGTTGTATGCATTCATCACTGATTATCAATCACTTGATTATAGGTAGATTCGTACACTCATCTGCATACTGATATGTGATTGTCAAAGAATCATTGTAGCAACCTGACTGTTGGATGGTTATTGACTGCAAGGAGGATCTAAAATATGTTGCACGTTGGTCTTCGTCATTCGTAGATGAATTACTATATGCAACATATCTCCTATGGTTGTTTATAGATGTTGTGTCTTTATGTCCACAGGGAGTTTGTTGCATTTGTAGTATACCCGCTGTTATTATCTGCAAGTGTGTTGTATCAATCGTCTTTGCTTGCATTCGAAACAGTGTATTAATCTGATGTTGTGTCGATGTTGATCAGTTACCCCGAGGCGTTGCTATATTCAGTGCCCTTTTTTCTATTATTACTTTTGTCAGATTTCCCACGTACAAGATAGCCCTTTTGTTATTGCTTGTGTGCATCACTATGTTAAGCTACCAGTTGGTTGTTGCTTGTATGAAGGCTCTTATTAGTGCATGTAGGGGACACTTATGCATTCCTGAGTCGGTTGATGTTGCTTATAAGTACATTGTATCCAATTACATGGGTATTGTTGTAGGAGTTTATTGCATATGCATCATGTCCACCTTTATCATTTACAGGTGGTCGTTGATTGTACTTGTTTGCAATGACGGGTCTTCCACGATCAATTGCTAGTGTTGTCATCTCAATCTACAGGCATTGTTGTTTGTGTTAGGGATTTCATTAATGCATGTGGGAGACATCCATACATTCGGTAGTTGGTTGTTTCTTTCATCAAGGCCTTCATTAATGTTGATTGCTATTGTTTGCAAGTATAGTGCGTTTTTGACCTCGTAGGGACTGTTGTAGGAATCCACTACATCTATCATGTATCAACAAGCATCTTTCATTGTGTGCTATGTATTCAAGTATTGATATTTGTTTTGAAATTGTTGTGAATTGACTAGCATTCATTTCTTGCATACATCGAGGTCTTGTTCGTCACGAGTGCCTTGCTTGTTTGCTTGTATTCATTTGAATGCAATTATTATTTGCATTTTAATCTTAATTATGCATTTTAAGATTTAAGGTTATGTTCTTTGCTATTCAATTCAGGTCCCCTGTTATAAAAGTCTCCTGTGCATCTGTTCAAATTTTGTGCATTTATGTTCAGGTACAGATCCTTTGTATTGCTACTCAAGTTAAGCCTTCTTTATTGTTCAGGTCTCGTGTACTTCAGTGTAAATTTTGGCAGCATCCTGGCATATCCCCCATTTGGGGGAGATATGGGGAACTGGGACACCAGGCAGTACATCTTTTCATCACACCACGGTACAAGAGCGTATATGGGAGCTCCAAAGTACATATATGAAAATATGAGTGGCTTTCCCCACACGCTACAAGAGCATGTATAGGGCTTACCCACCTCGCCGTATGCGTCACACCAGGATCCCATACCGTGCTATGAGATCACAAATAGGTGGTTCTCCAGCCGGCCACAAACGCTGAAAATGGGATTTGGAACATTATACATTGCGTAGCAGTATTGGCGGTGCTGATGTCGAAGTCGAGGCAAGAGAAGGTCCCATGGTACTCAAGGTTGTCCCCACCACGCTACAAGAGCATGTATAGCGCCTACCCGCCTCATCACACCTATGGCACCGGATTCTCCCCCCCCCCCCAACCTTTGGAACTTTATCATATGCTTTTTCTAAATCAATAAATATCATATGTAGATCCTCCTTATTTTCCCTATATTTCTCCATCAAACCTCTTAATAAATGTATGGCTTACATAGTCGACCTACCCAGCATGAATCCAAATTGATTTTGAGAAACATCAATATCACGCCGCAGCCTATGCTCCATAACTCTTTCCCATAGTTTTAATTAAAATTAACATTAATTAATTATAATCAAGGATAACAAATTTATAATTAATTTATTTAATTATAATTGATAATAATTAATTAAAAGCAAAATAGTTAATTATAATTAATTATGATTCACAGCGATCGAACTTCCGTTGTTGCTTCCGATCCAATAGAAGTCGTCGACTAGGGCAGTCGGGTTGGCTGCAATCGGGCAAATTATTGGGTCAGGTGACCGGAGGCGAAAAATAAGTTTGGACATCCAATAAAAATTTGTCGCGTCACCTTGCGTTTCAGTTGCGCTTTTTGACTTGCGCTTTAGTTGCGCTTTGGTTGCGCTTTACCTGCGCTTTAGTTGCGCTTTTTGGCCTGCGCTTTAGTTGCGCTTTAGTTGCGCTTTACCAGCGCTTTAGTTGCGCTTTACTTGCGCTAATTTTAAAATAATATTTTATTAATATCCGGACCTATCTCTGCGTTCGGTCACCTGACCCAATAATTTGCCCTGCAATCGACAGAGAAGGAGGAGGTCGGGATTTTGGCTCGACTCTGATGATCGCACAAGAGAGGAAGAGACCGAGGAGGAGTTCGAAAGAGACAACAAGAGGAAGAGATCAAGGGAGCTCGGTTTCTTCCCCCTTTTAACGACGCTAGCAGATCGTGTAAACCACGTCGCCAACATGCAAAGATCAGCATCCAGATGTCTGACTAGTGCGGAGAACAGGATTTCAGGAATTTTACCTGCGTTTGTGGAAAGAGCAACGTGCGGAGGGCAGGTGCAAAAGCCTTTTTTCTTCTTTTTTTTTTTTGTTTTGCTTCTGTTTGCTACGAATACAGGTCAACACTCATAAGAGGGAGATAAAGAACTTGGTCTCATACAAATCAAACATAAAAGAATAACGGGACAGAAGGAATCGATCAATCAAAAGAGAGCAATAATATCAAACTCGTCATTGAGTGATTTTAGATGTCTTAAGTTGGTTCGAATTGTAGAAGAGTTGCATACTATTGAGAGTGAGCATGGTTTAATGACAAAAATCATGACTCAGCTTCAAGATTTGAAAGCCCATCTTTCCAAATATACTTTGCATTTCTCGTACTTTTATACTATAGGGTTTCATGCTTCGATGCAAACTTGAATTTTGCAATTCTTTGTTAGTACTTTTATGCATTCCATAGGTGTGGTGGTCCGAAACTGAATTTTTTTAGAATGATTAATGCATGAATGCTGATTAGAACATGACGCTTACAACTTGGCTAGCTAAGGCGCCTAGTAATCCAAACATGTAACTTTGAGTACAAGGAAGCCATAATAAAAAAAGTTCTTTATAATTATCATAATTATAAATGAATCAAATTTATGAGTCATATAATGAAGTTATGGAGGCGAGTAATGAAAATAGACTTGGAAAAATTATGTTCATGTGGAGAATCAATTTAGTTTCATGCCAGAAATATCTACCATCACAACAATTTTTGTATTAAGACAATTAAGAAAAGAGTACAAAATAAAGGGAGAATCTACACATGATTTATGTTGATCTTAATAAGTCTTGTGAACCAATATCACAAATATTAATTGGGCAAGGTTTAAGAAAAAAAATGTGTGTATAAATAATATGTTAAAATTATAAGAGATGTACAATAGAACGTTGACAATGAGGTCCCAATTATAATGTGATTACATTTAGGAATATCATTTAACCCAATCTTTTTGCATTGACTTTGAAGATTTACTTGAATATTTAAAAAAAGATGCTTTGGTGTATGTTTTTCACAGATTACATAATATCAATTAAAGATTAAGTATATGCACGTACTTTGTATTGGGTATGATAGTAACAATTATCCATTGAAACTACTAGAAGATAAAGTAATATCAAGATATGATAGATTTAAATATCTAGAAATATTATACAGAAGAATTGGAAAGATATAACTAAATATAATTTCTAGAGCTAAAATTGGATGTTTAATACAGTGAAATATCACCAAAATATTATGGAGTAATAATATAATGAAAACTTTGAGGTGAATCTTATAAAATTATACTTAGGCTGACTATATTAAACAAACCTGAGTGTTAAATACTCAAAAAATATTAATATCCAAGTAAAGAATAAAAGAATAATAATATTAAGATGAATTTATAATAAAAGTAGGAAGGATCAATTGAAGAATTATTATATTAAAAAAACATAGACAGTAAATAGATCTGGGTGATTTAGACATGTAAACCAAAAGTTAGAACATGCAACTACATGCTAGTAGATAAAATTAACGCCGAACTATGTGGAAGTAGGATGGGTACAGATGGAAGTTGATATAAATAAAAGCTGTGCAAAGTATTTGCAGATAATAGAATTAATACCCCATGTCGCTCATTAGTAATAAATAAAGAGGATTCATGAATCTAAAACCGAAGCGTTGATAAGGCTAATAATCATAATTATGAGTAATATTTTCAATCATTGTTATAGATTTTTCAAAACTCCATCACCCAATATCTTGAATGGATGTAAGACTTCAAATAAATAAGCATCAACATGTTTCTAAAAGGACCAAAAAAACAACTGCTTAAAAATGAAGCTGTCGGGATGCATGGCATAGAACTTTGTTCACAAGAAAATAAGATTGTTCACAAGAAAAAAAGCAACTGCTTAAAAATGTCCAAATATAGAAAGGCTAAAATACTTTCTTGTTACCTAGAATCATTTTGAAGAAAACTAATTAAGGCCTCCTCTGTAGAGAGAACAAGATGCTTGCAATGCAAGTTATCTTTAATAAGAAAAGCCAACTCCTCCACCTAGAAATTATAGCCAGCACATAAAAAAATTAATATACGACAAAAATACAAATGACCAAAAAAAAAATTATTACTTATTCTTATAAAACCATGTAGTACCGGCTAAGGTTCAGCTGAACACTGAAGCAGTAGAAATGCATAGCATAGAACTTTCAAAGAAAATTAAATACATTCTATCTATTTATTTAATTAGAACATGAGTAAGAAAAACCACTACTACCAACAACAACAACAACAACAACAACATCAAGCCTTTATCCCACTACGTGGGGTCGGCTACATGAATCCTTTTTCTCCATTGAGTCCTATTAAAAGCCAAATTCTCGTTTAAATCTAATAAAGAAAGGTCATTCCTAATATTTTCTAACCAAGTCTTTTTAGGTCTACCCCTACCTTTCTTAACACAAGTCAAATCTAATACCTCTACTCTCTTAACTGGGTCGTCGGAAGGCCGCCTTTTTATGTGACCAAACCATCTAAGGCGACTCTCTCTAATCTTATCTTCTACTGGAGCTACTCCAACCTTTTCACGTATATGCTCATTTCGTATCCTATCTCTAAGGGTAAAGCCACTCATCCATCTAAGCATCCTCATCTCTGCCACACTTAACTTAGTATTATGCTTCTCTTTTAATGGCCAACATTCGGCACCATAAAGCATTGCAGGCCTCACTACCATCTTATAGAATTTTCCCTTAAGTTTGAGGGGTACATTTCTATCACATAACAAGCCCGATGCATTCCGCCACTTCAACCATCCAACTTGAATTCTGCTGATAATATCCCCATCTATTTCACCATCACTCTGAACAATAGATCCAAGATACCTAAAACGTGTACTCTTATTAATGACTTGATCGCCCAAAGTCACAATCCCCTCACTAGGACTATTACTGCTAAAATTACACTCCATATATTCCGTTTTAGATCTACTCAAGCGAAAACCTTTAGACTCTAAGGTTGACCTCCATAATTCAAGTTTACCTTCAACTCCCTCTCTAGTCTTATCAACAAGAAGAATATCATCAGCAAAAAGCATACACCAAGGTACATCATCTTGCAAATGTCTAGTGAGAACAAAAATAGTTAAAAAGCAATAAAATTCAACCTACCTGGTAAGACAACAGCAAATTTTGCATCACATACACATTGAAAGGTGGGACATTTGTGACGTGGGAGTGTTGCATTGTCAAATTAATTTTACTCGTAGCTTAGTGTGTGGAGATTAATGAACCTCTGCTGTCCCATTATCTCTTCAAATATTATTGTGTAATTATTCATGAATTAAGCTAGCATCAACTGTTGACATACAATTTCGTGTCGACCAGACCCTGATCGAGCCAACTAGCGTCGATCGTACACGATCGATTCGATCGAACACATTTGAAGCAAAATCGGACCCCGATTTGTTGAAATTAAATTTTAATTTCATCAAATTAGTCTCGTTTTAATTAAATTAAATTAAAATCGAATCAAATCAAATCGAACATAATCGAGCCTCGTCGAACCAAATTCTACGTAATTCGACACCGATTCAAGTCTAATTTTCCAAAATTGACTTGATCAGCCTTAATCGGACTTGAATCGGCTCAAATCGGTTTGAATCGAGTCCAATTTAGGCTCAAGATTAGCCCAATTGACCCTTCCAAATCAACCGTTGCATTCAATGGCTAGGATTTTCTTGATTTTCAAATTTTGCGGCCGTTATTAGTAAATCTTCAATTCTCGCGGGCAGCTACATCTGAGAGATTGCGGAGATCTCTTATCTCTTGTGGCAGAAATCTCATCCTACGGCAAATACGCGAGTGCGCATGGGCATCCTGCATGCTTGTCCGTCACATAAACAGTGGGAGATGAGGGGGAGCGGGATTCGTTTCTCCTCTTGTGTTGTCTGTCCCGACCTAGAGAGAAAGAAAGTGAGGGAACGCGAGAAGAGAGGCAGAGGCGGTACTCTTCCGCTTGCTTCGTGTGTCTGAATCCATCAAGGTCCGAATCTCTGCTTGTATGTGTCCATCCCGAACGAAAAGAGCAAGGGAGCGTGAGACGCGGAGGTGGAATCCATCTCCACTTGTGTTCGTTCTTCCGCCCCGAGAAAAGGAAGCAGAGCCGACTGGCTCTACGTGTTCGTCCAGCCCGAGTGAAAGAAGGAAGCCGGTCGGTTTCCTATGTTCGTGAAATCAGGGAAGGAAGGCGTGGAGTTGCAACTCTCCGGCTGTCACCTGGCGTAGGAGGAGCTCGGCAACAGATTTAGGAAGGTTTAAGAGTTTTCTTTCACTCTCAAATCAACTCCGGTGACCTCAGGGCAACAAGAAGGTTGTTAGAGACTTCCAAACAGCAAGGGAAGGTTTTAAAACCTTCCAAACAGTGGTTTAGAGGCTTGGGAGAACCTTGGATAGCAGCGGCGACCTCCGGAGCAGCTTGGACAGCAGTTAGAACTTGGATTGGAGCTTGGACAGTAGCTTTGACAGCAATTTAGAGCGCTTCGACAGCCCGAGTGTGGTAAAATCCTAAAACTTAGTGAAACTTAGGGTCCCCCAAGGCCATCACCACTTGATGGGTGGTTGATGCCCCCAAGCCTTACGTCCTTAGAAACTTCAATTTTTGTTCTCTCAAAATCCCTTATCGGTTGTCCTCTTTGCAAAACAGCAAAAATTTGGTTGTTTTCGATTGTTGGTTCTCATGTGAGAATTCAGAGAGGATGTTAATGCGTATAGGAGTGTTGGATTTGTATCTAATACTTCTCAAATGCATGTTTTAGCATTCATGTTACTTATCAATCCATCACCTACCAATAATCATAGGCTATGTGATATCTTCTCATCCCAAGATGAATATTGAGGTGTATGTTTCTTTGCATCATAAGACATGTTTTCCCTTTTGATTAAATGTCATAATGAAATTTACAAAAAAAAAAATGGGTTTTCATATTTGCCAATTTGTATATTCTCCATGGCTTTCATGAATGCGCGAAAATGCATTTAGTCAGATTTTTAAATCTATGGCACACTTGTTGTAAGATTTCATACGAATCTTCAAAGGTTCAAGTTGCAAATCATAGGATTGGTAAAGCTTTTAAAATCTATTTTTGGGTGTCTTGTGAACTGATGCACGCAAAAGTAAGCAAAAAAAATTAGGAGAACCCTAATTTTTTTTTGCTAGAAAGATATGACCTTACTAGGATAAAGAAATTACAAGAAATAGACAAAATACAACATTAATATTATAAAAAGACTTACAAACGACGCATAAAAATGACGTTTACAAACTTGACACAATCACAAATTAAAAACACCTAACGTTGCATTCCATTTGTTGCTTTGAGAAGAAGCATACATGTGGAAGGGAACTTGCCGAGAGACGAAAGAGATTAGAAGTCGAGACGGAAGGGAGACAAGCTTGCAAGCTTTCTCAAAGAGTAGAAGAAGAAGAAGTGGACAAAGCTCTCAAGCTTTTCCAAGAAAAACCTTCAGTTTTTCCATTCCAAAAATCTCATTTTTCACCTTTTTTCCCCTCAAAATACATCTCTAATATATAGGCAAGAGTGGGGAACCAAACAGCCATAAACCTTTCAAATAAGCCAATTAGACTTTAGTAAATGAAAGGCCAACAGCCACAATAGCAAAACTCACGCAACCAAGCAGGGAACCGCAAAACCGAGCAGCCCAGCACGGAACCAAGCAGGGAACCGCAAAACGAACAGCCAACCACGGGAACCAAGGGGGCAAAGTGTGGGCTCCGAAAATTCGGCCTCGGCCTCCACTCGCTTTTCTTATTCGGCGAGGGAGTTTTAACGAACTATGTTCCGAGGTAAATTTTGGTAGGCAGATGGGTTTGTAGATAAGACACTACCCAGAGAT